ATAGAACATTTATTCTACAAACAGACGCTTCTGGTGTGGGAGTTGGGGCAGTACTTAGCCAAGGAGAGGGAGAATCAGAAGATTTCCCATTGCCTATTTTAGCAAAAAGCTGTTACCAAGAGAGCAAGCCTACTCCACTGTGGAGAAAGAGTGCTTAGCTCTTGTACTTGCCATAAAACATTTCAAAGCCTACTTATTAGGGAGACCATTTGTCATTCAGACAGACCACAGGGCTCTACAATGGCTACATCAGTTTAAAGAAAAAAACTCTAGATTGACGAGATGGAGTTTAGTGCTACAACCCTATACATTTACAGTACAACACAGAAAAGGAAAGGCTAATGCAAATGCAGATGCATTATCAAGAATGGAGAGAAGCACTTCGTGCCAGGAGAAGAAGGGAGGAATGTGGAGTGCTAACGAGGAAGATCAATCTTACCATTGATCTGACTAGACAATTATATTGTATGTGTAGACATTCTAGGGCTGTTTTATGTGTTAATGTGAAGTTATGTGTAAATGTATGTCACTGATTAGTCTTTTTAGTTTTGTTATTTAAGGTAGAGCGAGTGATTGAGAGAGAGTCTTTTGTTTAAAGAGAATTTTCACTGTAAAGAGGGAAATCTAGCTCGGGCGCGTTACAGATTTCAATCAGAATTATTAATTTTTTATTAATTTCTAAAGTCTTTAGCCAAATTTTGCCAAATTTGAAAAGGAGAGAGTTTGCAATTTTTATAATTTTTGATACGTATACTTGTTCTTATGTTATGCAGAAAGTTTGAGCTGATTCTGATCAAATTTGGGTTTAGTATGAATTTTTAGAGTTGCTCCATATTTTATGCAGCTCAATTTGTAAATAATAATAGTATATATTAAATATCACTATAGGGATTGCATATTTTGGAGCATATTTTGGACAAGGAACAGGAAGTATACTAATGGATGATGTTCGTTGCACTGGATCTGAATTGAACCTTACTAGCTGCTCTCATACAACTTTTCATAATTGTAGTCATTCTGAGGATGCTGGAGTTAGATGCTCATACAGTAAGGACTACATGTATATGTAGCTGTTCATTTATGTGATACATTGTCATTCCTTATTAACTTTTGAAATGATTTTACAGTTTGCTTTGATGGAGAAGTTCGTCTTGTTGGAGGATCCAGTAGTTTAGAAGGACGTGTTGAAGTATGTAGAAATAGATCATGGGGTACTGTCTGTGATGATTCATGGGACAATATTGATGCCACTGTTGTATGTAGACAGTTAGGACTTGGATCAACAGGTATTAATCAGTTAACTGCTTGTAGTTATATCAAGAGTACATAATATTGGTTATATGATGGTTTATTGATGAATTCTATAGGGACTGCATTTAGTAGTGCATATTTTGGACAAGGAACAGGACGCATAGTAATGGATGATGTTGGTTGTTTTGGATCTGAATCAAACCTTATTGACTGCTATCATACAACTAATCATAATTGTGATCATTATGAGGATGCTGGTGTTAGATGCTCATACAGTAAGGATTATACTGGTAGCCTCGATACTTATATCTTTTTTGCAGTTTGTATTGATGGAGAAGTTCGTCTTGTTGGAGGATCCAGTAGTTTAGAAGGACGTGTTGAAGTATGCAGAAATGGATCATGGGGTACTGTCTGTGATGATTATTGGGACACTAATGATGCTACAGTTGTATGTAGACAGTTAGGATATTATGTTACAGGTATATGTGCAATGTATATACTTCATGATTGAGTTATAGGTTGAAAGCCAAACCTCAATTCTACACACTGTATAGGGCATAATGTTCGCAGGAGGCAAATTTCGCGAAATCTACTAAAATTCCAATTCACGGATTTTAATTTCATGAATTCTACCACGTGTGCCATGCTGATACTGTATTAAATTGATATTTGCGGATTTTATTTTCACGAATTTTCTTTATCCACTAAATCTGCAAAATTTGCGTCCTGCAAAAATTATGCCCTATGTGGTATAGGCTACCACCTATAATTATAACTTAATTAATTTCAATTTGCAGCAAATAAAATGTATGCCTTTGTGTATAATACCGTATAGCACAAAATTTTCGAAGGCTTTAAATTTTGCAATTTTTTGAAGAATCGCAAAAATTACTTCCGCAAAAATCAAAATTATTAGGGCAAAAGATGGCAAACGATATAAATTCGCAAAAATTAAATCCGCAAAATAGATTTTTAGGCAAATTTGCGAAATTTACAGCCCTCGAAAATTCTGCACTATATGGTAGTACTATTTGACTTAAGTCCACATGCAATTATTCATGCATACTGAAATGAATATTCAATGAATTTTATTGCATTATAATTTATACAGGGACCCCATATAGTAATGCATATTTTGGAGCAGGAGCAGGAAGCATAGTAATGGCTGATGTCCGGTGTACTGGATCTGAATCATACCTTACTAACTGCTCTCATAGAACTAATCATAATTGTGTTCACTCTGAGGATGCTGGAGTCACTTGTGCAGGTATGCAACAATAATATATGTACATCATGTAACATGTACCTTACATAATTGTGACAATATTTTTAAAACTCCTATGATCATGTGATACTTAAAATTGTAAAGTAGCATAACTTTATTATTTTTATTCTGCAGGCTCTGGTGCATCAGTAGAAGCTATTATTGGAGGAGTAATTGGTGGTATTGTTTTCCTAATCGTTGTAACTGCAGTGATTGTTATATGTGTAGTGGCATTAAATTCCAAATCAAGCCACTCCAGAGCTAGAGCCAGGCAAGCAGCTCCTGCAGTTCAAATGACATCAATTCCAGTACAAACTACTAGTACTACAACTGGAGCTTATATACAATCCCAGCCTAAGGCAGAAAATCAACCTCCTCCTCCATCTTACTCAGAGTATATGGAACAGCAGACACAACCGACTGCACCAATGGCTCATCCTGAATATGCTGCACCAGCAGGCTACCCTACACAAGGATATGGTTATCCTGTCCAGGGTTATCCTACACAAGGCTATGGTTATCCTGCTCAAGGTTATCCTGCTCAAGGTTATCCTGCTCAAGGTTATCCTGCACCTCCTCCACAGCAGCAGGGTTTTGCTGTACAAGGATATCCTCAACAGGATTATTCTCAAACTGGTTATCCCCAGCAAGTACCTTATCCACAACAGCAGCAGCAAGAAGCACCAGTTAGGTATCCACAGCAGGAGCCACAAGGATATGGAGGAACAAACCCTGGTACTGATGAGTCTACTGGCTTTCGTGATGAACCACCACCTCCTTATTGAGCTCATTGATGTATTGCAGTTTATATTTTTGTACTACCTATTATGTGGTCTTATTTCAATAGTCTACATTTATTTTATTTTCTGTCAGAATAGTTTAATGCAATTTCTATATGAAATCATCTGCCTCATTTTGAATACCATCTCCACCCTAAAATTATTTAATACGATTGTTTATATTATTATTATTATTATTATTATTATTGTTCATGATAACTTAGATTAAATTGCATGCTATAACAAAACCATGGATAGTTGCAACATTAGCAGCAGCCATAGATTTTATAAGTAAAATGAAAGCAAGTCTATTGCACCATAGATACTACAAACACTATCATTGCACGTGACA